TTTACTCCATTGATTATCATAAGCATCGTTTATATATAAATCCATAATTATAGATTACATAAATAACTTCAATTGGAATTATAATAAATTCTGGTATTGTTATTGGTAATGTAATTGATGGTGCAAGACTTATACATTTAAATATTAATGTACAGAATAAAACAATATATATTGGCATAAACACAATAAATCCTATTGTTGAAAAGTTTGCCACAAAAGCTGCTGGAGAATAGTAACATTGTTCATCTAATTTTAATTGGAATAAACAAATCATATTTCTTAGGAGTTGGATAGAAAAGTATGCATAAATAAATACTGGTTGATTAATAGGTGAAATGTAAGTCCCAAGAATTGAGATTGTTGATGTTTTAATCAATACACAGACAACAACTGCGAAAATAACAAACATCACATCTTCATCTCTTAATGAATTGTATCTAATAACAATTATACATGATAATAAACATATTAACAATACCAATGGGGTGAATACATAAGGAATATAAAGTATACTTGTTATATAATTAATAATTCCCATTGATAAAATTTAAAGATGGAAAATTTTGAAAAATAAAAAATAACAAATTGAATAACAAATTTTTAATTTGTGTTAAACAAAGTTAAAAAGAATAATAAATAATTTAATATAGAATTAAAGAAGTTTAGTGCTATTATTATTAACTAATAATTATTATTCATTTTTTTGTTTCATTAAAGTTTTTTAAGTTATCAAAAATATATTCTTCATTATTTTGTGAATAAGTAGTTTAAAAAGTGTTATTCTTTTTTTTTAAGGTATATTCTTTTTTTTATTCAAATGGAATAAATCATTCACTAATCAAAGAGAAAGTTAATTGGTTTAAACAAAATTAACTATTCACAGTAAAATTGAAATAAATACAATTGGTTTAATTTTTATTCTATATATAAGGAGAGTTATCTAGAATATATTAAATGGGTTGTTTGTTTTACATAATAACTTCAGGGAGTGCAAATTATTAAAAATATAATTTGAAACACTTTTATGTTTAATTCACAATAACTCAAAAAATGAAACTTTCTAGAGTATGGCTCATTAAATTGAAAAGTTAAAAATAATAAACAATAAATTAAAGAAGGTGTTGTTTCAGAAAACTATTATAAGAAAGAATTTATTTTGGGTTATCTTTTTTTTGAATGTCTTGTTTTAGCATAGACTTTTTGTTGTTTATTAATGAAGAACCAAAAATGAGTTTTAAGAGTATTCTTTCAAAGTTAACAGAGATAGCACAAAATGCTAAAATAAAAGAAAATAATACTAAAATCAAAACTAAACAATAAGTCTTACTATTTTATTGGTATTTATATGCCAATGTTAATTTATATTTAGTTTAGGTTTTATTTTTATAACTTTTCATATCTTGAGTTTATTGTTAGTTTTTATTATTGTACTTTTGTTTTTTAATTGATGCTTCTTACCTATTTAATTTTTATTTTAATTTTTATATATGATTGTGATATTTATTGCTTATTTATTTTCATTTATTTATATTATATCTAATTTATTATTGTTTTATCTTTAGTTTTTTCTTCTTGAGTTAATAATTTATGGTATACTCCATACTAACTAATAGAATTCTCTTCATTTATTTTTTAGCAAAGACATGTATTATTGTTCAATTTTATCTTTATTCTTTCATTTTCATAATATTTTTAATCTAGTACTTTAATTTAAAAAAAAAGTTGTTCTTCGTTCATTCTTGTTCCTATTTTTGTTCGTTTCTTTATTAAAAATTTATGACACTAACACAATATATTCTTTTTTTTTCATAGATTAATTATTAGTATATTAAATTTATTAAAAACAATAATGCAGATTATTCTCGTCTATAGCTTCAATTAAAATTTCTGGGAAAATAAACAAAAATGAATAAATGACCAAGAATAAATAATAGTTTTAATAAAGAAATTAGAGAAGAATTAAAAATTAGTTTAAGTATTATATTATACAATGAAACTTCACAAAAACTACCTCATTTATCAATAAACATAAGTCAGGAATATAATAAAATAAGAAAAAGAATGAAAGAAGGGAATTTATATCTGATTCGATTAACTTTTTTAAAATAAACATTTATAAAAATAAATTAAATACAATAAGAAGTTTTAATTAATAAATAGTTGGAGTATTAGTCTAGAAAAGATAGGAAATAAAGATACAACAAGACATTTACCTCAAATAAAATATTATATAACAAGAACTCATAATACATTCAAATGTGTCTGTTCTACATAAACAAACAGAATAACATTCTTTTAATATTTTACAAAACATTCAAGAAGCGGTGGAAGTACAAAATAAGTTAAATAATCTTATATAACAAAAAGATAAAAATACAAATAAAATGAATTAAGGAAGAACAAAGTAAATTACTACAAAATAGAAGAAATAAAAACATCATCAAACAAACAAACTATATTATGAAATATAAAGTATTTAAATTAGTCATTGAAGAAAGAAACTTTTATATTTTAATCAATCAAAATTGTTTTTATATTAAATTATATTTTCAAGGTGAAAAATAATATTCTAACAACTCAAAAATGCTCTATACTATTATGTCTTTTACTATCTTCTATATATATTACATATTAATAGGGAATAATACCCTTGACTATTTCATTCTTTTTTCTCTTAAGTCTAAAGTACTATCTATCATTATTTTCATAATGTATTTCATGAATATTAACACTCTTTCAATTTATTTATTATCTTTATTTCTATTGAATAGATTTGTTATAGTGTTTAATGATATATGATTCTTCATACTATTTAATATTTTATTTATAAATTAATTACCATTATACTAGAATATAAATGGAATATATATAAATATCAGTTAACTTGAAATACATCGTTTAATATTTTTATTGGATTTAATTAATTAAAAATAAATCAAATAAAGCTAATTTCTGAAAATGATAAACAAACAACTAGATACTTTATATTATTTGTTTTTAACAACTATAAAAAATTTATTACTTAAATATAATGTATTATTTATACCTTACAATAAAAGTATAATAAGTATTATGGAAATTACAGAATAATATAAAAAAAAATTGTTATTTAAACAAAATTTGTCAATGTTACTCAAGAACAACAGAGACAATCAAATACAATTAATTATTTCATATTACTTTTATTTATTTACTTGTATATTATAAATATACAAATTTATTTTTATTTATCTCTTATTGTATTTGTAACTCTTTTACAATAGACTCTATGTATCATTTCTTTTTGTTTAGTTTTATTCTGAGTTTATAAATAAAATGTCAATTTTTATGTGTTTATTTATTAACTCTTTGTAGAATATTGTGCTATTAATTAATTTCATTTAATGAATTATTTGTTGACTCTTTATATTATCTTTGCTATTTTCTTATAATAACTTTACAAAAACAACACCTAACTTTTGTTCTAAGAAAAAGTCTGTTTATAGGAGGAATATATCAGTGGTGTTTAAATGCTTGGAAATTCATCTGTTCAACGAAAAACTCAAATTATAAAAAAGAAAAAACTGAAAAATAAAAAAATTATAATAAAGAATGGAACCTACTCGTATTATTGCCATTGATTATTTCAATGAATATGACCTTGGGAAATTTTTGAATAAATATAAACAGTGTGTCAATGACGAGCAAATTCCCTCCCAGAAACCTTATACTGTTGGGTTTCCTGAAATTGATGAAATTAAAAAAAACAAGAAAAGGTACTCTTCTTATTCAACAAATACTAAACCAAGAAAAAGTAGTGAAAAGAAAGCAGTGAAAAGAACAATTAGTCCACTTAAAATAAAGAGTTGTGATCTTATGCAAATGCATTGTAATGATTGTCAGTTTCGTCATTCATCACAACATAATGCTAAAATCTCTGAAGAACCAATACAAAAAATGAAAGAGAAACATTTTGGGTTTGGACAAACAATAAGTGATTGCTGTTATAATATAAAAGAAAAAGTCCAATTAAGTCAACAAGATACATTTGACCTCGATCAAGATATTATCATATCATCTCAAGAACTCAAAGAAAGAGAAGGGCTTATCAGAAATAAAAAAGATTTAACAGAAATAAAAGAAATTAGAGAAGAGCTTCATCCAGTAAAAAAGTCTAATACTATCGTAAGAAAAACAACCCGATTAATGTTACAAAAAAAGCCTAGTATCATTGTTTCAATTCCTTCAATTCCTTCAATTCCATCAAGAAAAACTATTGAATCTTCACTTATTCATACCAAAACAGATTGCATCACATTGTCAAGAGAAAATTCAAATAAAAATTTCATCACAAAACACCAGTCATCTTCTTTAGTTTTATGTAAAACAAACAGTCATCCAATTATTCAACCTGTTTTGAAACACCAACATACAATGTTTGTTCCAACCAAAAAACTTAGTTTTGATGACATTGATGATGAAGTTCTTACTGACATATCTCAAAAAAAAGCTAATTGGGTTATTTCTCCAACTCCATCAGTTGAAAATATTTCTGATATTTCAGTCATTGAAGTTGAAGAAAAACAAAGGCAAAGAACAAATGAAGTTAAAAAACATGGGAACACTCGCCCTATCACTTATCAACTGATTAAACCAAGAATAAGTGAAACAATTCATTTGTCAGAAATATCATTGTATCATGTAAAACCTTCTTCAAACCAATCTAACTGTTATTCATTACCACCAAAAGTGCATTTAAATTTGAATTGTGACATGAAAGAAGATCCAGATGTTTATCTCTCACCTTCTATTTAGTCACACCATAATATACTTTTTGTTTTTCCTATTTATTCTTTTTCTTCTGACTAATTTTTTGTTTCCCTTTAAAGAGTAGAAACAATGATGTTGTTTGCAGAAATATTACATAATGAACATCATTTTATTTCAAAAGAAAAACTCATTAATCAGATTCTAAGTCACTTAAATTTTCCTTTTTAAAACAAAAAATGAAATACTAAAGACTCGAGACTTGATTCTTTTTCAATTCAAAAATTTCTAAAAGTCTGTCACGAAGTTGTGCTTTAAATATCTTTAACATAATCATCTCGCTATGTAACATATTACATATATAAATTGTTAGAATTAAGTTATTCCATCAATTTGTTTTAAGTAAGTAGATTTTTATAATTATTAAACATATTTAGAATTTATGTTAAACTCATTGGTACTTACTCTAGTATAACATATTATATAAACATTTGTATAATATATTTGAGTAATATGTATTAACTTTAATTAAAACCAATATAAAGGAATAAAACAGTATTATTTTTACCAAATATTAATATGAAGTATTAGATTAATTCATTTTTAGTCTTTGACTAAATTAATACTTTAAAAATTTATATTATTTTAGAAAGGAGAAAATGAAGCACATGATATACCAAAAGCTAACTGAATGACTATGAATATTATAAAATAATAATTATTTAAATTCATTGTTATCATATTAAAAAAGATAGAGTTATCTATTGTTATATACTTTAATAAATATTTATT